GAGGTGATGGTGACTCACCTTCAGCCACAAACCACCACACACACACACCACTCATACACACCTTGCACTCCTTCCTCTCCTCCCAGCCTTTGATGTGTGTTTGAGCCCATAGCTAATCAGGTAGCATCAGGCCTAGTCCTCATTTCCCCTTCACACCAGCCCCATTAGGGAGAAGGCTTTCTGGAGCAGGCCGATAAGGACAATATGCTCTTCTTTGGCACTCTCTCTTCCATATATACCCCCAAATCTCACACTACTCACTTTCTTTCTTTTTCTCTCCCTCTGCTCCCTTCCCATCTTTCCCCCTCGCTCAGTCTCCAGCGTCTCTTCATTCCTTCATCTCTCATACTTCTTGTCACAGGTTTCTCTCACTTTTCACTTTTCTTTCTAAATGTCCCATTACTCCTCCGTCCCATTACTCCTCCTCTGCCTCTTCTTTTCTCTCCTCTTTCCCCCATCCCAACCTCTCTGCTCTCTAAATCACACCCAGCACCTCCTTTCCTTGCTTCCTTTGTCAGTCTCCCTCTGCATCCATCGTTCACTCTGGTTTCCCCCAGCAGTCCCAAACTTACTCCCCAAATCCCCAGCTACATTCTTTCAGTCTCTTCCCTCATGCATCCCTCTTTCACTACTTTTACACTTCCTTTTTCCTTTCCTTGTAGTCCTTAATGCTTCCTCGCCTCATATTACCTTGTAATCTCTCCTTCCTGCTAGGGCTCCTACTGTCGCACATTCCTCCATTTCCTCTTACTACTTCTTTCACTTCTGGGTAAAACTTTTTGAGACATTGCTCATATTGTCAACTTGGCCATTTGTGGTCAAAATATTGGTTCTTTTTCTTAGTTAGTTGTGCATTCGGTAAACAGGGCAGCTTTTCACTTTCATTGACTAATAGCATACGCACAACATTCATGATCCTCTTCATTTGTGAGCTTAATTAATAATTGTAAGATATATTTCTCCAGGCAACCAAGTAGATAATGGAAGATGCACCAGTTTTCATTTCAGTTTCATTAATATATTTTGTAAGCTGTCTGCTATTTGCTACGCAATAATAATTGTACCTACATCATGGCCGCTAAGCTGTACACCTCAAGGTTACACGTCTCTGGTAGTTCAATAAATTTAATAAACATATTATTCCACAAACAGCTGTGGCCAGAGGTATTACGTCTTCAAGCTGTCCATGCCATTCATGGAAACATGATATTTCTTAAACTCCTCGAGAAAGTTTTTTCAAACTCGACAAAACGGTTCACAAGGATGAACTGATTGCATTTTGTAGGTCTTAGTTCAGGGTCACCTCACATCTGTCCCGCTTTCGTGAAGGTGATATATCAGACGCCTGCAGGGAATTTTATTATAAAAACGTTCACTTGGACTCAAGGATGAACTGACGATGATGAAAACGAATTTTGTTTCCACACCTTGAGGGGCTTCTTTGAAATTTGACACAGTGATTCATTTGTACTCAAAAAGGAACCTTACAAAACAGATTTGTGGCCATGATTTAAGAAACTGTGCGCTAATTATACAATTTAACACACACTGTAAAGAAGAGACAAATGGTTACTGGACTCCAATATGTTGTAAACCCCATCCCCACTGACCCCGCCCATCCCAGATTAGCTCGACAATCTGGGAACACTCAATATTGCCTAATTTAAAAAGTTCTCTAGTCAGAAAACTGTTGTTTTATTTTTCCTGACAACAAGTAGCATTGGGATACTTGAGTTAACAGCTGACTGTAAAATCGATGTTTGTGGTCTTCTGTTGTCCAACAGAAAACATAAAAGCATGATGTTGGCAATGCAAAAGCCTCAGTTCCCAATAGTGCCACACATGATGTGAATAAAATCCGAATCCAGCGCTGAAATAAGTATGGTTTAATGTTTATTATCTTAGCTGCTGAGTACAGAAATATCTTACACATGCAAGTTTTTATTGGACAGTTTTGCATCACAACTGCATCTTTGTGGAAGCTTTATTCTCTTTTCTGTTTTTCTTGCATCGGACAAAATAGATATTTTTTACATGACTGTAATTAGTCCTTAGAAAAAGCGAACACAGGTTTTTCCCTTTTTCCAAGGAATAAGGAATACCAAGGAATACTATCATTTAAGCAAGAGTTAGAGTTTGAATGTAGGCTTATTGCCATTTTATAGTCTACAAGTCATACATATTTAGTATGCAAAATAAGCGAGTACATCGCTGTGCACTGTCACTTAAATGTTGACTCATTTAAAGCTGTATCACCTCTCAATAAGTGGATTATTTCTAAGCTGACAAGTAGAATATTTTCATTTATGAATGACTAAAACAAGACTATATTTAGAATACTCAAACACCACAGTTTATAAATTCAGTGAAACTAAAGCTAATACACTATGGTAACTTTCACATGTAAGAAAGTATATTTCATATAAGCCTGATTATTACAAACTGTCATGTAAACACCATAGTTGTATTAAATCTGTGCAATGCATCTACATGAATTGAAAGAACTGCCAAAAATCTGCTCTGATTGGCTTTAAGTGTGAAGGTCATACAGAAAGACACACGATCAATTAACAATGAGTTAAAGCACACATCTACAGCAGTAATTAGGAGGTACAGAATGGGCCACAGTACCAACGATCACGGCCACAGTGGTTTCCTCCTAAAATAAACCTTTGGAGAATGTGCTGCATGTACAAACTAGCAGTGAAAACCAGACAAGACAAGAGCAAGGACTTCAGACTTAGTATAGGATCAATGGAAATCTGAGTTTCAGCGACAGCTTAGACAGTTCGAAGGACATTAAATAATAGACGACAAAGAAAAAACGCTTTTGTGCTCTTTGGTTCAAACGATAATGTTGAACTTTGCAAAAGAATACAAGAAGAAGCCTGATGAATCCTGGGAGGTCATTCGGACTTTTGTTCAACTCAGATGGGGTGCAGTATGCCTGGCCTACACTACACTACCACAGTGAATCCACAGCCCTGACAGTGACTCAGGGCGGGGCTTAATGAGTCACTTGAAGAGATGATATTTAGACATGGAACAAATTTGGCCTGAATGAAAATGAGTGATTGGCTAAATAGCCCATCAGCAGACAGTGGTTCAATTAACCGACTATGTGCTTATAGACATCAGAGAGGGTCGGGCACAGATGCCACTACTGTTCAAGCCATTAATAATAATATTGAATTGAATCAAGTTATCCAAGAGGAACACATCTGTAAATGTTATTGAATGAATTTTGACAAAATGTCAGCTTACAAAGAAACACTCGCGAACATAGTTTGCACCATCTCTTTCGTGATTTCTGCTACAGCAGGTTTTTGCTGTAACACAAACTCACAAGGTGAAAAAAATACCAGATGTGTTGTTGTGGCAACTAATAACCTTTCCTGTTGAGTTTATTAGCAGAGCTAAGGCTCTATCTGAGTTGCTCAGGTGTGGTCTATCTACACCCATTTATTGCTCCAAGTTGGCTGAAATAAATTCTTAAAATCCTGCAAAAGCTTCTTGTACCACAAATGCTTACCAGACAAGCTTTGAACACAATATTTGCGTATGATTATTAGCACAGGCAACCATGCAGAGACCTACAGGGAAGCCCAGACTGGAGCTGATAGAGCATACACTCACAAATGTCATGGGCACTAGCATCCCAATCATTTGTATCTTGAAATGGGGATCAAATAATAAGTCGTAAACACTGTAATGAGTGCTAAGATTATCTTCAACTTCTCTCTGTTTTTTGTTTTAAAATCTCTCTTGCGGTTGAGGGCCCATACTGTTCACTAACAGCCCGACGCTAATTTGGGATAAAAAAAAAAAAATACTGACATGCAATATTTTGCTGGTTTACCACAGATTTCCAAGGGACCACACACACAGCAGTGAAGTACCACACATGCTCATTTGATAAAATTAGGTTAGGAAGGAGACCGTAGTGTGCTTTTCTGTCTTTGTGAGAGAAGAGCTCATGGTGTGGAAATTAAGAGCCTGCATGTACTTGTGTGCGTAAATGTGTGCATTTGTGTTTGTGTGTGTGTGAGAGAGGCTGACTAATCCCTCCACAGAGCTGAAACGAGTTAAAAACACATCAAAGGGAAGCTTAACCTCTGTGAAACCTCACCGGGTTTTCAAGAACAACAAATGATCATTCTCCTCATTGTTTCCAGGGGGACTCTTTTCACCGCCGCGCTGCTGACTTTTCCCTCAGTCCTGGGAGTTTTCAAAAAGCCTGTGGTTTCATTTTTAATGACTGTGCCATTTGTGAAAGTGTGTGTGTTTGTGAAAAGAATATGCGTGTGTGGATGTGTGGGTAGGTGCACACGTGTGTGTTTGCACATAAAAAAAGGATATTTTTGAGTGTGACATGGCAAATGAGGAAAACAAAGCTAACAAGGACATGCAGCTCCGCTCGAAATCATTAAAATGTATGACATCCTGACCAGCTATACAACCGCTATATATATATATATAAATATAAAGAACCAATGAAGGATAAAAAAAAAGAAAAAGTGGGTTTGGAAGACAGGAAGGTGGACACGGTGACAGAGAAAGGCAAGATGAAGAAGCTAGTTGTGGCCTGAGACCTGCTTTTCCTAGAATTCTCATTATCACAGTGTTCCCTCTTTATAACTTTGGATATGCACATGCTTCCTCTGCGAGGGTTTATTTGTGCGAATGAGAGTTGCTCTTATTCAAACACTTGAAACATGAATAGAGGAACGCGTGCCCTATAGATCTACATGTTATCCCAGGTCCCAAACTCATTTTAGATCTTTTAATGGAACGATTTTACTTCCTAGAAAGGTACTTACCCGTATCAGCGTCGATGCCTGACTCAGCAGTCGTATAAATTTTTTTTACAAAAGCCTAATTAACGAGTACCACTGCCAGTTATTGTTACAGTACAAGCATCCAACTGGCAGAAATAATATATTTTTGGCACACTGACATGCAAAACAAAAGTGGGGAGGAATATAAAGCCGCTTGCAAATATGTGTTTTTATTTTGCTACCGTCACAATACGGGGCACAGAAAAAAAATCAATAAACAGTTTTGAAAGTATAAAACATAATATCAGACAGCTAATACACCCAATCACGCGAGCACGCGCTCGCCCACAGTCTCTCAAAGAGACACAGAAGTACACAGACACATAATGTACTCAAACATAGAGACGCACGGCCACATTCACCGCAGCAGACGCGGGACACGTGGTGCACAGCTGGAGCATAATCAGAGGCTGCGTTACTGCCATTTACATCAACGTCTGAACCACGCCTGTGGATGGATCATGTGCTGTTTCTCATTTATCCAAGCGGGACTCATCTTCAGATCTACTGTTTAACTCTATCTACATTAAGTTTCTTGTTTTGATTAGTTCATTTGTACATTTAAGGTGCAAAAATCTGGTTATAGCTCAAGTGAACTGTTGGGAATTTTCAAATAAGTGCATTTGAGATTTTGTGCTCACTGCTGCAGTTTTGCTGCAGAATAATATTATTAATTGAAGATGTAATTGCTTGAAGCACTGAAACATTTTTGAGGACACAGTCAGTTATCATAATTTTAAGTCTATCTAAGTAATCTGTCAGTGTGAATGTTTTCTTGGCATAAATCGTTGCATGGAACAGCAGTACCCTTATAAATATGGCTGAAGAAATTCCATTATTTTCTGTTTCCGAGCGCCCCCCTAGGCACAAAGAACTGTGGGACTTGACTTTGACCTGCAGGACATTAACCTCATCCTGGGTATGCTCCCCAGCGAGAAGCTGAAGGTCAAAAGCCATGGCAGGTCAAAGTCTTCAGGGGGCTTCATTTTGCCGGATTCCTGCTTGTCCCCTTAGACCCGGCATCTTCCACAGAGGCGGAGAAAGCGCACTTGGAAGACGGCCTAATCAAGGACGCTTTATCCGAAGCCTTGGACTCACCTGGTCTCCCTACTCCGACTGTAGTCGGCTTGGTTTGAGTCCCATTAGTGTCCCCTGTCACTGGGACTATACTCAGAAGACGGGGCAGGTCCAGGGATGAGGGAAGGGAGGCACAGATAGGAGGGCTGACACTGAGAGAGAGTGGGAGGTGGATGGTGGTTGTAGGGGGAGGAGGAAGGGGCCCACTCCTCTCCACTTGTCTATGCATGGACCTCTCTTCTTCCAGCTGCCTACGCAACCGCTTATTCTCCTGACTGAGATTGCCTAACTACAGAGAAAAAAAGAAAGAAACATACACAGAGAAGCACATGTGCAGACAAAGAGATTAATATGTTTGTGTAGCCAAAGGAACAGTGGCACATTTTTGAGAAGTTTCCAAAAAACACGGCTCTCCTTTAGCCGAAGCAGTGGAATCACACAACTCGAATCAAAGTTAGCAATAAATATCAACCATCAAAAGTGAACAGCTATCGTGCTCATCAAGTAACTGACATTCCATTATGTGATTAATTCATCATCTTTCACAGTCGCTTTCATGCCTGTTGAAACAGAAATGCAAATGGAAAATTGCAAGGGGGTGGGGGGGGTGGGGTTCAGGATTGTATTGTGTTCACAGTTTGAAATGGTTGCAAGAGGGAGTCATGCGACAGTGTAAATTTCTACATGAAAACAGCCAATTTGAGCGATCATTAGAGGTCGATTTAACACAAAATCATCCGTGACACAAAACAAATCGCACATCGTCAGGACATGATTGGGCTCCCTGAAACACAATTATAGACTAGCTAAATTGAGGATTTTTTGTTTTATTTGTGTGTGTGTGTGTGTGTGTGACAAGGACATTTGGGTAAAGGCAGCGTGGAGTGTGAGTTAAAACATGGCTTTTAATACAAAAAATAAAAGCATTTATATTGTTGTAAAAGCTCGGTAATTATATGCAAAATGTGCCAGTCTAAAAATTGCAATAAGGTAGATAAAAGAGAGAAAAAGATATGAAATAATGTATTTTTAGCTGTGAGTACGAGTAAAATAAGAAATTAAAGGATGTAAAGACAAAAAAGACTCATCGGGTAATGACAGTTGCACTCATCCACATCTGTTTTTAAGTGTGTGCGTGTAAAAACTACGGTTAAAGAATGATGTCACATTAACATGTCTGGCCATGTGTGAGTCTGCGTGTGTGTGTGCGTGAAGGAGAGAGAAAAACACAAACGGAGATGAGACAGACACATTTCCGGATGGTTCTGCTAATATTACCCGTCCAGACATCGTACGCATGCACACAGACACAGAGAGACACACACATGCTCAATAAACTCTGAGCACGGGTCTTAGGCTTAACCCTCGAAGAACCAATGGCATGTCGACGTGTCAAACGATCATAAGATGCTTTACTATCCTCAACAGGCAAACCTCCTGCAACACGTCCATTTTCAGTCATGCCAAAAGCAATAACAATTCTAGATGAAAAACACAGAGTCTGACATTTATAATTAACTGCACGCGACCGGTTTAATTTTTCTCATCTTTTGTGGCTCTGGATGCTTTTCTAATTGTAAGGCGGGGGGGTTGAAATTAAAAATCACAGCTTGTCTTCTCAACCTTAACTTTCCGTGGGTGAATTGGTGTGCATATATGTGGATGAAAAGGACACAAGGATGTGTATAAGTAGGGGTGAAGGGAGTTAAGCATGTGTGCGTGTGTATTTTTCCACTGTTTGTATAGTTTTAATGCAAATTATGGCAATTACAGAACTATAAAAGAGTTGCATAAAAACTGTTCAGCTGCTTAATGCCTGTTTTAATTGTCGCGTGTAGCCACGAGACAACCTGGATATCATCAGAAGAACGATACCCTGCTGCTGATCGAGTCTCGAAAAGAATCTCGATTTTTAGTCCTCTCGTGTTCGTCTTCATCTCTGTTAATTTTCTGTGACGTTTCAAAAGTTTGCATGAAATTGGCTTGACAGTCGGATGGAAATCATGCATATGTGCTCCGTATAATGCCTTTCGGCGAGTGAGAAAGCGACGGCGTCAAACCAGTTTGTTACTATGAGTAAATACAACTGATTCAAGGAGACACAGACCTGATTTGTAACCCAATGCCTTTCATAATCTGAGTCATTCCATTCAACTTCTTTACTGATAGCTCTGTGTGCGCGCGCAAGTGTGTTCACTGCAGAGTGAGGTGTTTACATCCTCTCCTTTCCTGACTGCCTGCGTGTATGTGTGTGTGTATACTGTCCATGTTGGATCGATGTGTGTAATGATTCACACTAGAGATTAAGAGGTGCTATTACACACCTGACCTGTTAAACAACACCTCTCTCTTTCTCTCTTGTCTGAGTTCTCCTCTGCGTTTCTCCATGTTCCTCTATCCTAAACCCACAGCTAATGTCATTTGCTCTTCACTGAAACAACACTGCATTAAAACTTCAACAAGTACTAGCTTTTGTCATACCCCGTCAATCAGCAGGCCACTTCACAAACTAACAAAAGTCGGGTGAGCCGCTCCCTAGGCCCTGGAGTTTTGGAGAACTGAGGGGGCTGAGGAGTACTTTTGATTTGTCTCTTCTTTGGTGATTTGTTGACTCTTGTGAAGCTCAACACAGTAAAAAATGTCAGCATTTCCCAAGAATATTCCTCTGTGTTTTTTCCCCCACATTGTTTTATCACAGCGGGCCATTTCCCTATGCTGTCATGGAGAGATCAGCACGGCTGTATTGATATACATCTCTCTCTCAGTTTCATGAAAGGGAAATCATTTACCAGTGGAAAGGAACGTCACTGCCTTTTCCCGATACGATTTGTCCCCCCCCCCGCACACACACACACCCCACTTCCCCACACCACGTCCCTACATCCCGCACCCCACCCCGCTGCCGATTTTTCACTTTTATCGTAGGAAGAGGAAATGGATGTCTGCGTGCGCCTCTGTGTAAGTGCGCTTGTGTGTTTGAAGTTGGACGCATGAAAGCTTCCTCTTCTGTGTGAGCTCAACAGCAGGTGGGCCGGTGTGTGGGTGTGTGTTTGTATCTGTCGGGTAAAAGGACTGTCAGGACCCGGTGTGTACGTGTTCTTGTGTGTGTCTGTGTGCGTGCGTGTGGACGAGCGCTTACTTGTTGATTTAGCATTCCGATGGCCTCCAGGTTGCTTTGCAGTCTGGTCTGCATGTCCTCGATTTTGCTGAGGTTTAGAGCGACGCAGCCCTTCTTTTCCATGCTGCAACACAAGTGTATGCACACAGGCAAACAAACATACATGAAAAATAAACTCTTTAAAACAGTACAGGGAGTTTAGCGGTCTGAGAGAAAAAACAGAATAACAAAACTCTTTCCTTCTTGCAGATCCTTTAACTGCCTTGTCTGTAGTTTAGCTTAAAAAGCACATTAAGTTTACACTTGCTTCTACCTATTCTTGCACAATGACATGCATTTGCCTGACTGAACAGTTTCAGTCAAATGTCCTCGGAAATCTGCGGCATAAAGAAGTTGGCGTGCATCATCTTCATTATAACTATCTTCATTATAACTTATTACTAAACTCAAAGATGGGTGAGCAAATGGGTTCCAGAAATCATTAAATTATATAAGAAAGTGCATATAAAGCTGGGGAAAAAAAACAAAGCAGCAAAAAACAAAAACAAAACAAACGCAAGCGCAGCCAGGGAACATTAAGAGTACAAGAAGCCATTTAAGATTTTAACTGTTTATTAAAACCGTTTTGGGAAATGACAAACAAATGTTAGGGTCTCCTATCTTCAGACCGAGGGCTGTCTAAGGAATGTCTATTAAATTAACGACGGTGGATAATGGTGCTCTGTACGGGCTGAAGAGCTTGCTGCCCCCGCTTTACGCTCTTTCTTTCATGCCCCAGTGAACCTGTCCAGTTAGCATTTGGAAAAAAAAAACCTTCTAAATACTTTATTGAAGAGTTCTTAGCCCATTAAAGTACCACTGTACCTCCCCAATGTTAATTTTCTTGTAAAAGAGCAAGCTGGGATTTTCTATCAGAGCAGCGGACGGGAAGATGGTCCCATTTTGCCTCAACTGAGAAGATGCACGCACTCATTGAAACGCTAATAAATAGTCCCATTGTTCCTGTAGATGCGTGCGCACGCTCACACACACGCAGTCATAAACTTTTGCCCTTATTAGTCGCAACTGAAACCATTTAAGATGTGGAAGACACTTGAGGAAGACACAAATATTTGAATTGACATTGTTTTCGGCTCCCGTGCATTTGCAGCTAACAAAGGCAACAACAAAAACAGTAGATAGTTATAACGCTGCTTAAAAACGGTACCCAGCAATCTCTTGACTATTTCCTTCTCTGATTTTTGAATCATTTATATGGATGTAATATTATTTTGCATTTCTATGGATCATCATACAACTCTGAGTTATAGCATGTAGCTTCGAGACTGAACAAAAGAAATGGTTGCTCCAAAAAAACGACACAATTTTTTAATGGCAAAAAACAAACTACAATTATAAATATATCTAGATAACATGAATATTTTTGATAAGTTCCCCCAAATATGTGCAAGAGAAACACAAAAAAAACCAATCCATACATTCCCCAGCTGACAAAATATAATCTGAGTCCCTGCATATTAGCCAACTAACTAATTTAGCTTGGCCAATATAAGTGAGAAAACCTAATTTCCTGAAAATGACATTTATAAACTGAACATAATTGCCACTGACCCTTGCAGATCTTTTAATTTCACACCCTAATGATGATACAAAGAACATTAATAAGAGAAATGCAGAAATTTCCTTTGATCTTTCAAATTTTGAATGCCGCTTGAAAGACGAGTTCCATGAGTTTCCATTGCTACAGCGAAGGGGGAGAAAAAAAAATAACAGAAGACACAAACTTTAACCACAAGCCAATTCCATAAAATCCAAAGCGCCACATCTACACATTTTCCTCAAATGATTTAAACGCTTTCCTACGCGGTAATGTGGTCTTCAGCAGATCATGAATCATCTCCGCTGCTGAGACAACTGTGTGAGATTTATGCACTTGATGTGAGAAACCGGCGAAGTGCCGAGCGCTTGGCTTGGCGCCCGTGTAAACATGTGTTCCTGTGTTTACACGCAAACACAGATGTGTGTAATTAGCAGCCTAATCCAATCAGTGTGTGTATAATTACAGTCATTAGTGTCAAAGCCAAGCGGCCATGCTCTCTAAACCAGGCAATAAACTACGTGGTTCCTCTCCTGCTCCAGTCCCACTCATCTTTCTTATTTACTGTCCTCATTTTTGCTGTAAATTTTATGCAAGGCTCGGCTCTCTTTTCACACAGCCTCCCTCTCATCGCCGCTTTCTGCTTCTCTGTCACTTTGGTTCTCCTTGTTTGTACAAATCCTCTGCTGTGATCACTGGGTGCTCTTAATTGGAAGCACATCGTTAGCGGTGCAACTGATGAAGCCTGATGCTTTATGAGCGCTTCCCCCACATGGGTTGTGTCAGGCAGCCACTGAGTCAGTGCTGCCAGAGGCAAACAGCATCAATCTCTGTTTCCGCCACTCACTGCATATCAATGTGTACTGGTATCATATTTTCAGATATTAGCAGAAATCATTTTTGGGTTGTAATGTCTGTTGTCAGAGTTTATCCTTCTTCTTTTTCTTCTTAATAAGCATTTCTGCAGGAGAGAGGTGGGAGGGAAAGGAGGGGCAAGCAGCATCGAAACCCATCAGGCCACACGCAGCACTTTAGAGGGAGGTACAAGACACTTGTATAAGTGATTATCATGAGGGGCTTTAATGAGATTGTTAATTGACACTATGATGTTACTGCGCAACAAGAGTGTAACAAACCTTTTTAGTATCACCGATCCAGGGCATTAATTGTGCACATAACAACTCCTATCATTGTTTTTTAGTTTGAGCAATACCGCTTTTACCCGTAATGGCAAAATAGCTTTTTACTTTAACACTCGGCTACTTATTTACACAGTGGAAATGAAAGGCAAGGTGTTAGTTTGATAAGAGATGTAATTTGGTCTCCGTGGCCAAAAACCTTTGACATATGGACTGTAGATTGTACATTGTTTAGGATCAAACTCTACAATCTGTTCTATGTCCAGAGCCACACCCCTGCATTGATATTACTGTCCTCATAACAAGGTTTCTAAGGTAAACAGATAAAGTTTTGCTTACTTTTTAACTCTTTCCCCCAGAAAAATGTGGCCTTCCCTGTACCCACCAAGACGACTTTTGGCACCTCAGATGAATAATTTGACGACCATTAGAATAGTTTCCGAGTTTTTGCAAGAGTAGCTGCATAGGCAGAGACCACCCTCACTAACTTTCAATGCACACCCAGTCATTTTGTCCTATGGGCAGGCCTGAAATATAACAGAAACAGCTCGGTTCAGAAGCGTTACTCCTAGTAGGCTTTTAAGGGATTACAGTGCAAGAAAAATATATATTTGAACATCTACAATTCTACAACATCTGGAAAACAGCTGCTGACGAGGATTACAGAAACGGCTACTAAATGGATTTGGATAGACACGATGTAGTGTAAACACCGTTACACAAAAATGTCTGCTCAGACAGACATGCTTTTTGTCAAAACATCACCTTATTAACAAGCGCTTATTAGATCTGCGTGTCTAAATCTAAGTTTTCCCGTCCGTTATGGCAGCAAATTGAGCTACGAGTTGGCTGATGCTTGGAGATTTCCTTATCCTTCATCCACTAGGTGGATTTTGAGCAGAAAATGCAAATAAATATGCCAATATCATTTTTGACTCTTAAGATTTATATTTGCATGTAAAAAAGCTTCAGTTTTGCGTAATTTGTTGAGTTTTACGTAATTTGTTGAGGTTGAGAAATGCAGAAAATTTCGTTTACCGAGCTAACACAATTGCGGTCCCCTCCATCAGGCCTCTCCGCGCCTCCCTGTGGGCTTTACTTTTTCACAAAATAACAAATGCAATGAAAGGCCTTCTCATTCAAGCAGCTTTATAACAGTAGGTCAGGTAATCATAATAAATTTCTTTAATAAAGGCATATCTAATGACAAAACCTTCACCCCGTGTTGTCTGCTGTCAGTGATAGTGACAGCAGACAGACATTGTTAAGATACCCCCTGTCCCACTAGTAATGAAATTTACACTCTGAATGTATACGGCTGCCTTGCAATCATGACATTATCTATTGCTTTATAGAAGTGCAATTTTAACACATATGGCATTTTTTGGTAGGTGCGAGTGTGGGGGAAGGTGTGGGCATACTAATAAAATAAAATAAATTAGGAATCAACATAATGAAGGAATGGAATAAAAAAGGGGGGCAAAGGAGGAAGAGGGGCTGGATGGGGGTGACACAGTGGAAGAGGCTTTCATTCACTGTTTTTATCTCGTTCCGTGTTATTATATTCGCTCAATCAAAACCCTCTCTTATGCATACATCTATATGAACTGCCTCTCTCACTCTGTCCCTCTCACTTGCTCATTCGCAATTATGAGGGAAAGACAAAGAAAAGCGATTCATCTTTCTGTCGCGGCCCCTTAATGATATCATTAAAATGACTGACAGCTTTGAATAGCACTGGAAACCTACCCCAGTCAAAACAAATCTGATCCGTTTTGGAAACAGAGTCTGGTGGTTTGTTAGGGGAGGGGTGCAACATGAGCACATGTTAAAAAAAAAAAACGGGGTGAGGTTAGAATGGGGCGTGGGCGGGGGAGCTGTTAATGAGGGGTACCTTAGGGGGGCTCACACTTGGGGTATGGGGAGAAGCGCTGCAGGCAGGTGCCCCCACAAACACCCCCTTTCCCGTACGCGCGCACCCTCTTTTCTCACTTCCATCCTACACCCAATCCCATCTGTGCCACGTTCGTTTTCATTGGCTTAATGAACATAATAAATATATCTCCTCTCTATTGATGAATGCTATTTGGCAGCCACGGGGGTGGCAAGCAGGAGAGGATGGGCACTTGATTGAAGTGTAATCATTGTTAAAGGCCCAGCATGAATAACATATTCAGATTGACGAAGAAGAAATAAAACAGCAGCACGTGCGCACACACGGGCACTGCTACGCACAGGTGGCCGGGCCCGCGGGGCGTTTCATTCACAACTTGGCACTCCTGCTGTTACTATCATCATCAGCTTTGTTCCGACCAGATTGTGTGCGAAAGAGCCAAACGTGGTGGCTTTTGTTACATGCTAAACTTTGATCAGCTGCTGAATGCAAACAAACGTATGCCTTTAAATGTGTGGTCACACACACACACATACACGTGCCCACATAAATGTAGATGACTCACGTTTTCCTGTCTTGCTGTACTCCCCAGTCCCGGAGATGGGCCTGCAAACAATTATAAAAAACAAACCTGTTTATGATTGACTCGCTCTTGTATCTCCTTATTTGTAGTTCATTGCTTTTCCACTCTGCCCCTGTTCACCTTGAAGAGTTCCATGTCTTTCTCCTTCTCATCCACCGCTTCTTTCAGTCTCTTTACCTCCGCCTTCAGTGTGTCATTAGCCTCCTGAAGGCATCTGACAAAAGCAGAGAGACGCGTTAAACAGAGAAATATAAATAGAGATGAAGAATAGCAGACACCTATTATCATCAAGAGACTCTTGTTAACATTGCTGACAAAATAGTCTTTCAAGCAACACCAGTGATGACCGCGTTTCTCTCTTTTCCAGAGCAGCCTTTAACTAGCAGTTCAGACATCATCGCATACACGCATATACTGTAGTCCATTATAACACAATTCTTTTTGCACAGCATTTATCACTTACCCTAGTGACTATCTATTTCAGTATCTTGCTGTGCCCACCAATTTCAGACCTATTAAGAATTCTGAAATTGTTTTATTTGCAGGGGGGCGGGAAGCAGACATTTTCCGGTTAGGGAATATTGAAGGACTGTGTTCATTATGAAAAGGAACCATTGAGGGAGATGTGATTTCGACAAAGGTGTATGGAGTCTGTTATGCACAAGAGCCACATGATAACATGACAAAAACATAAGCACACACGAGCACACATGAACGAGGACACGTGTGAGTGGAGACAGAGGAGAACATGGTTACGGTGGTGCTGGGTGGGGATTATGAACGTATGGCACTATAGCTAGACAGCTTTGATCTCTGGCATGAAGAATATGTCACGCCCATGTATGCGTGTATTTATGAGACATGACTAAACAGAAACACTGTCAGGTGTGAGTATGTCAGGGAGTCTACCTGAATCACCTCAGCATATGCACACACACACACGTACACAGACACACTTCATGCTGCCTCACTTCCAAACCACCGCCGACCATCTTCAGTCATATTCCCTAAATAAAGCGATGTACAGGGTTGAAACGCATTCATTCGAACATACTTGTCTACAAACGCAAACAAATCTAGCTACTGAAAAATATCGCTGTGCCAAATATACTTACTCTTTCTCTTTAGTGATGACAAGCAGAGCTTTGTTTTGGGCTTTAATCTGGGCAATAATGCTCTCACTGGAAGCCCTTAGTAAGGAAGACACATTTTTTAATGTAATTCTACACAAACTAACACATCAACAGTTTTTGGCTGTCCTTTAGTTGTTTGAATATAAACAAATAGATCAAAATGCACCATTAAACAGGTTTAAATATATAAAATCAATATTTTCTACAACATAAAGTATTTTGTAGATTGACCTTGAACTGTAGCTACACATAACAGTACACTATATGATACACACATATTTTATAGCATGTGCCAACTAAGAAAACATTAATAACTTCCTTTTATTTCCTTAAATCCTCTGTTTTTATTTTTTAAATTCACAAAAAACATGTTGGGAGTGTCCATACTTTTGCTCAGTGATCCAAAGGTTGACATTAGTCATGACCAGCTGGCTCTCGTGCAGAAGCTTTGCATTGTCAGACCGCGTCCCCTCCATCTCTGACCGGAGCGTGATCACCTACAGTCGATACAGTAGCCAAGAATTATCCATCAAAACTTAAGCAGTTGCAATCTTTTCAGCATTTCCTTATTGCAGATATACTGCCCCCTTTTCTATACTTTACCCAGCAGATTAGTGAAGTACACACCGATATTCACGCTAACCAAATCCCAAGTAATTTAAACAGGTTAGCAGCTTAAAGTATTTTTTTAAAATATTAACATCCTGCAGCTTCACACATTTATGGACTGCATGTCTCTGTCTTGTAAACAGACACGCCTGTGCACACGCTCAGATGCAAACATCATATTAAATATGAATGTGGGGTGGAGGGGAGCAAAGGTGTGATTAAAGAAAAGCTAAAAAGCAGGGTAAGTAATGCTTTAAATAGAGGGGGTGCAAAAAGGGTGAGACTAAATGTCAAAAATAGAGCATAATGGCAACACAAGAGAAAAATTAGGTAAATGGAGAATAATGGAGGATGAAAGAGATGGCCTTTGCAGACACAGGTATAAATAGCAAGGTGAGGTATTAAGCAGGCGGGAGGGGAGATGGAGGATTTGGTGGGTGGGTGGAGGGGCAGAAGCAGACTGGAGGCGAGATTGGAGAAAGGGAAAAGATGGGTGTGGGGTTAACAGGGACTGGATGGCACTGGCCAAACTGCTGACTTTTTCATTCTGCTTATCAGTCAGGACCTTTCCAGGCCTAAACTCTGGGGACCCTGACATATTACCCTTATCGCCATAGAAACACCTTGATATGCCATACCATCTTCCCACAAAGACTTGAGCAAACACAGAAAAAGTTTCCAATATGTGGGCCGTGATTTAAGTTTATAAAAATGTCAAATGATTAACCCGAAATGTCAAAATATCAACTGCAGGTATGAGATGAATCAAGCACGGTGTGCATCTGTGTGTATATCTGCATGTGTATTTTCAATCTCACACGTGCACAAAATATATATTTTATTATTTTATATTGCCAACGTGTTTCCAGAAAGTTAAAGAAGATTTAAATTTAACACATAGATAAGACTGATTCTGTTGTTGCGAAAGAAATTGTATTCCCGAGCAATCAAACAAAGAAAAGTGATTAAGAATCATTATAATTCATTTTATCATCCAGTGACTTCAAGTGAGCATAACAGGACAAATAATGGTAGTGAAAAGTGAAGGAGGCAATGATTAGCCAACAAAAAACTATCAGCATTAAAAATAAAAGAGATTATTGTCTGTAGCGTCCAAAAACTTTCAGAACTCGGCATCTGTTTCCTGATGATTGAGCATCCATTAAATATGTTTTGCCCATATCCAGGTGGGCTGCAGGAAAACAGAAAAAAACCCACACTTTTAGTTGCCTGAGGTCAAGGTTTTTAAAATATTAACGAGTTTATCTGACAGAAGTCAGTCAGCCCAGGGCTACAAACAGAGGCACCAGTTCAAAAGTTTACAACTTCTAAAGCTGATGAATTTTTCACCTGCACAAGAAAATACGAAGCAGCAGACAACACATCGGTTTTGTTTTTCTTTCACTGTAAAAATTCAAATATGTTGCAACACAAGGAAATCCATGAGACACTCATTTGTTTAATACCTTGTGCATCCACTGAAAAAAACAGAACTGACATGCATAAGAGTAAGCAATGAGGCTGTGAAGACACCAGTGACACATAATTAATAATTCAGTTTGCATAACATGATGAAAAATTGCGCTTTTAATTAGGATTGGATTATGGAAGGGTTGCATTTCAGCAAATAAGCGCTGAAGAGAAACCGTGGGATCGGTGAAATTACATCAAGCAAATCATTCAATTTTGAAGAATAAACTGAGTCAGGCTATCGATTGTAATTACATTAACAGTGGAGTAAATATTGTCACTGTTTGTGACTTCATCTTGTGTTTTGTCTCGTGCTCTGACGCATATTCACATGAAAAAAGTTCTGTTTAAGCCGTCTTGGCAAAACCCCCGCATATTAACACACCCATATTAATTATAAGCGCAAATATATCAAGCTATACCATTCAAAAGATCAAATAACACCCACCCACGCAACACATGGGCGCACATACACTGGCAGGATCTGCGGCATGCTGTAATGACAGTAATTACCTGCGGTCTCACATTAACATCTCCCTCCTGACTGTCTGACTGGCTCAGCTAGTGGAGGGATGTAAATCGCAGCACAACTCTGATGTTGCGATTAGGTCTAAATTACACATCATCACTCTGTTTCCAGCAGTGTCAAGGGAGGCAGAGAGAAGGGTTTGTGAGAAAGAGGGAGGGACATTTGTAGAAAACGGATGGTGTGGGGGGGGGGACAAGGAGGTGCCACTGCAACAGTGGGGAGGAGTAAGTCAGCACACCTGCTTAACATTTAGATTGGTTTTGTTGCACAAATATTTTAGCAGATGATGGGGGCTAAAAGGGGCAACAAAATGCATTTATAACCAAGTTTGGTGATACCTCTTGTCCTTTCAGCTTTATACTCCAGAATATGAGTTGACTACTCCTGCGCTGGTGAAAGATTTCAAATCTTTACAGCTGCTGTACCATTTCTTTTTTAATTAATTATTTTTTTTATTTATCCTACCAAAAAGAAAAAAGAAGAAGAAGAAAAAAAAATGCCCGAGTCGTTCCAGCCTATGCTTTTCAATAGATGCAAGCTAGACTTTGCTGGACTCCAACATTTTTTTCTGAACCTATACATCTGAATGAACTTTCATGACAAACCTGAAAGCATACCTGCAGATGGAAAATATAAAAGGAAGAAAGAAAAGAAAGAGAGCAAATGATTGTAGAGACTTTAGAAGTTAATAGATTTTCCATCTTTTCTATTCTCCATGGAGCTGTGTATCACATTGCGCATTGGACAAAAGTGTATTTTCACTAAAAGCCAACAAACCGTCCAAGGTCAGGGGATAAACATGCGTCAAAGCAGACTTTTCTTGGTAATGAGAGGAACATAAAAATGAGTATAAAATCAGAAACAGATAGCCTAGTTGTTGCTTCTACAACCATCAAACCGCTAGAGCCGAATATGAGCCATTACTCTGTTCCACTCAGCTCATCAGAGCACATCCTCTCATCAAATTAATGAACACATTTATTGTTAAACACGTTTTTATAAAACATTCATTCATTCTGTCTAATTAAAAGACCCAACAGGCCTGACATCACTTAAATATGCATACTTATCACTCACATGGTCTGAATTAAAGATCCACAAGTGCGTGCGGGGCTCTGTGTGTGCACTGTATGCGTGCATGTATGATGGTAAAAGAGAATGAGGCTTCCTAAGCAGGCCTTCTCACTCTAGGCTTAATGGTGGTAATCGTGGCGTGACCCAACATTAAGACAGTGTGTGCGTGTGTTTATGTGTGTCCCACTCTCCCTAATGGTGACGATGATGACATGTTCTCCATTAGACTAGTCAGTGGGCCACAGCAGATCTAGCATATTAATGATGCTGATGATGGCTTCTTTAATTACCTTCGTCTGCTGCTGCGTGGCCTGACTCCTTTTCCCCGATTCCTTTCATCACACACTCTCCTACGCATGCTGCTGGGTTGTTTATCAGTGGTTGCCATTACTGAAATCCTCTGTCTTGCATCAAGCCTGTGTGTGCACAGCTACATAACCAGCCTTGGTTGAAGTTTCACAAGCCCCTTCAGGAATCAGTAGAAAATAAGTTTAAACTTGTAAGGCATACAATGGAAATATTTTACCAAGTTCAGTCAATACGCCAGCACTAATATAATATCAAACAACATCCAACCTTAGAAATAATTCAATTTTGCACTTTTATTCCACAGATCCTGTATAAAGGAGGGTAAGCTAGTCCTTGAGGCGTAACAGGATTACTGACAAAAAAAAGAAAAAGAAATGTGCAAATATTGTCGTGCAGCGTCTAAAAAAGAAAAAGAAAAAGTCTACGTTTGATGAAAAACTCAAACAACAGAAAACTTTAAATGCGTTATGGATTGAAGGGATTCGCAATAGCACAATGAGTGGTGTTTAGTTGTCCGGCTGACCGGGTCGCACAAGTGCTTAAATAACAGCAGCAAAACAAAAGAGCAATTTTAGGGTCTGAGGTGCATCCGTGCTGTTTTGTTTCAGTGATGAGTTTGGCAAAGCACAGAGTTACGGGGAGGAGGCGCTGCCCCAAAGCATCTTGGGGGAGAGGGGAGCGGGAGATTGACAGACGGGTTGGTGTGAAGTCTGCAGTGATGCGGATGCTGTAGCGGTCCATTGTGGCGAAGAGAGAGCTGAGCAAAGAAGCGAAGCTGTTGATTTACCACTCGATCTACATTTCTACCCAAACCTACACACGTGAGCTCTAGGTAGTGACCGAGAGAATGAGATCATGGTGGTAATAAGCTTCCTCCAAGGGGTGGTTTGGATCTCCCTTAAAAATATTCTAAGAACCTCAGCATAACTCGTTCACATCGAAAGGAAACTGTTAAGGTGGGCCGGTCAACAGGCTAGGATGCTTCCTGAATGCCTTCTAGGTGATTGCTTGGAAGCCGCGGGGAAGACCGAGGCCATGCTGGAGAGATTACATCTCACAGCTGGTGTGGAAACTGGAAGAGCTGGAACATGCTGCCAAAGGTGTGTGTCTCTACTTAGGCCGCTGCCGCCATGATCTGCACCCAGATAATCGGCAGAAAATGGATGGATGGATAAATATAGCATACATTGCAGTACGTGGTTTGCTTTTTAACTGCAAGGCATTTATACATAATTCATTATGTTCTCCTGCACACGCAAACACACACACAGATCCACACACGATGACTAATAAATAAAAATGTGCCAAGGTCAATCTCCTCATGGATGCTCTTAGTCCAGTGTGGTAGCTGAAAACTCAGCGACGTGGGGCTATCACACAACACAGCTTGTAATAGAGTGACACAACACAACTCTTGGAATCTGTGAGGGCGAATTTAGCAGAGCTAAACCTTGTTGCCAAGGTGAAATAATTAGATGTTAACCTTGAATAATTGCAGTATTAGTA